GGGAGGGGGGAAATGTGTTTTGCCTTGATAATTCAGCTCAAATAAGATAAGGGATTGGGGTAAATATTTATTGTTCAGGTACTGGCACAACGTACATTAGTTTGGTGTTTCACTGAACTCACAAACACTCCCTCAGTTAACATTCTCTGTTCCATACACATTTACATATATGTATATATGTTATATATGCATGCATACATATCTGCTTGCAATCACAAAAAGATCCACAGTCACAAGCATGATATAAATTATAAAACTACGGGTATGAACAATTATTATTAACAATAATAATGATGAATGATCTGTATTTTGTTAGTGACCTGATATTTTTCCGACTATGCATGCTTTAAAGGTCATAGGATTACTTAGTATTATTACGAGATGGGTAGGATGGTCTGTAAAAATGATCTTCTGTATCTTTCATTGTTACTAATAGAAACATAGATCTTTTATATTTTTTGTAGATATTTTATTCTAATGGATCAAATGATGTTAGTGTTAGTTGTCTGAAAAGGTGAAATTAATTAGTACCTGTACTTAAGTTGTCCAGTTGTTGGTAGGTGGTGGGTAGGTTGGGTTTTGATTTTTTTGTAAAGAGTTGTAAAGGTGAAATTAATTCGTACTCAAGTTGTCCAGTTGTGGGTGGGGTTGGATGGGTAGGGTTTTGTTGGGGTTTTTTTTGTAAAGAGAGCTAGAGGAGGATACAGCAGGGATCTCATACGGCGGTCCTTGATGTATGTCCAGGATGTGACTGGGGTATGTGAGATTGAAGCAGGAGGTTCGTTTTTCCAAGTGGGCGTGGCGAAGAGGGAGGGGTAGTGCGTCCGCATTTCGATTACCTGGTCGCCCCCTCGGATCTCCCACCCCCACCCCACCCTTTCCTTTTATCTGGTTTCCCCATTCGGAAAGGGGGGAAGAACAATAAAGGAGTCGCCCGCACTCTGACGAGGTCGCGTTTTCTTCTCAAAGTATTAGATTCCATCTGTTGGGTTTTAGTGTCCGTGTTTAACTCTGTATGCGTTCATCAAGTGCCAGGAGCGGCTTTACGCAAATTGTAGTAGCCTAGGGTGAGTCTTGTTGGATTCTCCCCATTTTTCCCCACACTCATATCCAGGGGTATTTTCACTGAGTAATGCGAAAACGCTTTGCTGCTGTTCAGACGTTTGTCGGAAACTGAATGAAATTCTTCTCCTACTTGTGTCAGTTCGGGCAACGAAGTAGACAGTGTCGCTTTATGTAAACTTTTTCCCCAACAAATTTTGTGATCGGGTATGTGGAGTCTAGATTCTAGATCTAGGTTTGTTTTAATGTGATATGCAATTCGAATTACAATTGTATAAATTATGTCACAATAACGGACCGCTAGATCTAAATTCTAGGCATAGATCTAGATCTAGATCTAGTCTATATCTAGATTAGATTCGTATTACGGTATTTTATATTCATCGACGGTTTGAAAAAAAAAAAGAATTCAATGTTTAAAAAAAGTTAAAACTTCCAGTGTTGTTTTCGAGCGATTGCAGTAGCATGAATTTTATGGGTTGTTTGTAACTAGCTGAAGTGGGCTGTAAACAGCTGTTATTGTGCACAAAAGCCTGGGATGATTGAGGCCTACGGTTGTGACGCAAGCAAACACTTCCGTCGCGTCATTTGCCCCTCGACTTGTTTACCAGGTCGTGGCCTCAAACTGGAACTCTGAGGCGACCGCCCTTACGTTCAAGGTCGACTTGTCTGGACGCAGCGTTTTCATTCGTCGGCATCACGGTGGACGAGTCCATTTGTGTGATATTTTTAGAATTACTATCAGTTCGAGGCTCTTGTCAATGACGTACGCGTGGAAGGAAACCTACCCAGTCTCATGCATGCAGTGGTCTTTTGTAACGTGGAATCATAATAAATAATATTTGCCATGTCAGGCATAGAAGAAGATTACCGCAGATTACTACTACAACAAGATCGATACATTTCCGTTCCGTTTTTAGCTAGCTGCTGCATCGTAATGTTGAGTTATTGTAGAATTAGTCGCTATTTATGAATGATTATAGTAGGCTTTTCATAGGCTGCAGGCAGGAAGGAAAAAGGAATGTTTTCGTGCTTTGTAGTGTCGTTAGTTAGTAACTGATGTCTTGCTTCTGTTGATGAC